CAGAAGGGGAGGGGTCTGGTCTGGCAGGTGCAACCCTGGTTATTAGAATGGCAGGTATTAGAATGGAGGGAGTGGCCACAGCTTTGAGCCAGGCCACAGGAATACATGAGAATCCTCTCAAAGGCTTGGACTCCACTCAGAGGGAAAGGCAGGACCAAGGATGTTCAAGATGAGGCTGGTGGGGGATGGGATTGCGAGGGATGGGATTGGAAGTGTTATTTTCTTTTGGGGGACAAAGCACTTGGTGAGTGCTAGAGGCCATTGAAGTCCCCTTCTAAGGCTCCTGCCCTCGCTGTCTGCACGCTCCCTGGAGGAGTCCCGAGGCCAGGCAGTGATGTGTGCTCCTGGGACCGTTCTCCTACCATTCTTAGAAAATGGCCCCATTTCCACAGATGGCCCGGGGCTCTGCAGCTCACCTCACTTCATTCCTGGATCCTCTTCTGCATGTATGAGTTTGTTCAATATGTGTTCTTTGAACCTTGAGAAGTTACGGATGAGGGCCTTGTGGAAACCGCCTGGCTGGGGCCCTTGGTGAATGTTTCCACGCTGAGCCACAGTCTCCTCATCTGCACCCTGGAGACCGAATCAGTGGTCACCTCCCACCGCCGCAGTGAGGCTTCCGTGGGTGAACCTGTGCCTAGCGCCAGGAAATTACTCTCCATCCATGGTCATGGTTACTATAGTTACCATCCATCATTGTTACTTAGTGGCAGGTGGTGTGTCCGGCTTGGACTCCTTCCTGGCAGAGAAATGCACAGTGTGTTGCCTGGGCTGGTGCATCCCTGGGGCAGCTTTGAGGTCTACCACGAAGACGGAGATTTGTCCTCATGGTCGTGGCAGCTTGGGGCAGTCTCATGAGACTAAAGCCATGGCTTAATCTCCTTGACAAACAGCTCACAGGCCAGCTGGTGCAGCAGCTGGGCCAGCCCTTCATCTACTGATCTATTTCATTTTTTCTTCTCATTGCTCAGGTTAATGGGGATGGGAGTGGAGGGTCCATGGGCTCCACACAGGCTCCCTTTGGCCAACAGAGTGGAGAAGTCTGGATCTTGCCCGGCCTTAGATTTGTACCCTGCTGGCTGTTGCACCTCACCTCTCTGAGGTGCTTCCTGTTCTGTTCCAAAGGGACAATGGCTTCTGCCCTGCTGACCCTCCAGAGGCCCAGGGTCGGGGGATTGAGTCAGACAGGGGATCCAGGATGCAGAGTGTTCGAGAGCCACAGGCTGGAGTCAGGCTGCCTGGGCTGGACGAAGTCGGCTGCTTAGCAGCTGCTACCCTCAGTCACTTCTTGATGCCTCAGACTCCTGCTCTGCGGAAAGGAAGAACAAAAATTCTCCTTCTCAGAAGGTATCTGACAGGCTTAAAAGATGGTGACTTTCGCAGTGTCTTGTGCACGTCTGTCCTTGGTTCGATGGGTGTGAGTTCTCCCCTGAGGGTCACCGTGAGCCGATCCTTTTGGGGTAAATTGAAGAGGACCCTAGGGGAGTGAAAGATCCCTGTTGACTGTTGTCTATGGGTAGGATGCTTTTTGGGTTTGAGAATTTTCAATTTCTTTTCTTTTTTTTTTTTTTAATTTCTAATTGACCCAGTAAGGTATACATACTTCTAGGGTATGGTGTGACATCTCGATCCGTGTAGACAAGGGAGTGATCAGGCCAGGGTAATTGGCATATCTCCCAGCTCAGATGTTTATCACTTTGTTTTGTTGGGAGCCTCTAAGCTCCCCTCTGCTAGCTGTTTTGAGATACATGATGAACTGTTGTTGATCAGAGTCGTGCTACTATGCTGTGGACCATGAGGTCAGCTCTCCTACCCAGGGCACCCCTGTACACAGTCACCATCCTCTCTCTCCATCTCCCCCTCCCCCACATTCTTCCCAGGCTCTGCTGTGAGTTTGAGAATTCTTAAATATAAAACACTGAGAACAGGGTCTGGCCAAGGCATGCAGGTACCCCTGTGATTTACTTGTTTCCCCGATTCTTCCATGGGCTCCTGATAGGCAGGAGTTGGCACACAGTAGGTGCTCACATAACACTGCTGGATCCATGAATGATCAGCCAGAGTGACAGCCCTGGGGACTCTCCATGTGTTCAACATTTAATGTTCCTTCAATCCCTGTCACCCCCTGCTCTCCAAAGCTGCAAATGATGCCAGTGCACAGGACATATTATTCCTCTGACTCCAGACAGAATGTGCTGGGCACTCATTCTTTGGAGCAGGCCCTGGGAGTCATTGTCCCTAAGTAGAAGGAGCGTTTCTGCTGATGTGGCCAAGAGGTGCATCCAAGGAGAGTTTCAGAATAATTTCTAGTTAATTGGTCCTTGAGTAATCTGCGAAGACCCTTCTGGGTTTGCAAATGAATCTTTCCCCCTTGTTAAATTGGTTTTCATTTTGCATCCCTTAATAGCTCTGGGCATGGTGCCCACTCCTCACCTCCAGGAAAAAGCCCCTGGGCCCCTCAGGGTGGGGACAGGGGCAGGTCAGGGGCTACTTGTCTGTGGAAGAGCTTTCTGTCATTCTCCCAATTTGAAAAGGCAAATTGTCCTTTGGGCTCCAGACTTCGGGTTCTGTAAAACTCAAAATTAATGCATTAAATTAATTTTCTTCTCCCCTTGCTCAGGCCAATTAGCACAAATTAAATTTCACTCTAATTGGCTGAGGCAGAGGCACCACAATCCTGGGGCTTGGGATGGATGCTGATTTCAGGGTTTGGGTGCCATCAGAGACTCCCTGGAGCATGCTGTCTGTGCTGTGTGGCCCTTGTGTGGTCCAGCTCAAGTGCCTTTGTATAAGTGACCCTTAGCTACCCAAAGCCAAGTGGGAGGCCATGGTCAGGCAGAGAGCCTGGCGATTTCTGTCGTAGTCACTCTTGAACTTCACTGTGCGTGAGACTGAAAGGTGAGTTGCTGGGCTCCTCTCAGAGATCTTGATCTGGGAGAGCTGCAGGTCCTGGGATTTTCACCGCAGTAACTATCCCAGCTCACTGCAAGGCAGGCACATCCCCAGCAGACTTTAAAGACAACAGGGACAGCACAAGGAGGCTGCGTCCCAGAGGGGGCCGGGAGCACTCTGGGAGCACCCCTCCTTCCTAACTGGTGGCTGTTCCATGGATCCCATGGACCTGAGTTTAGGTCTCGGTTCTACCATCTCTTGCTACTGACACAGAAGAATCCCCAAAGCCAATGGGAGGCATGGCTATAGAACCCCCAATGTCATGTCTGCTCATCCAACGTGCAGAAAGCTAGTCACTGACGCTGGTGAAAAGAGGGAGAGTTCATTGCAAAGTGCAGAGCAAGGCACTGGGCAGCTGTCACTTGATTTCGGGGCTCCCCAAGGAGTTAGGGGTGAAGGTTCTCACAGCTTGAAGTTGGGGTTGAGTGATACATGATCAGCTCATGTCCAGTTCCTGGTTGGTCTGCGGCACCCATCGCTCTTCTTCGATTGGTCAGCGATGTTGCATTCTTTAGGGAATTTGGGGTGCTTCCCCCAACCCTCCTCTTTGCTCTGTTTCTGCTGAAATCTGCAGTTGCCCCTGTGGTCCTAAAGTACAAGGCAGCTGGGCTGGAGGAGGGCAAGCGACAGAGAGGGTGAGAGGAGAGAGCAGCCCCAGGGTTTGGAGCACCACTGTTTTTTTTGACTCTTTTTGGAGAGTATGTTTTTCTGATGATGAAAGTGGTTAAAAATCAATGATGCAGAAATGCGTCCAAGGAAATGGGAGTCCCTGGGCACCCACACTTCCAGGGAAGCACCAGTCCATCTTAGCAGTTTAGGAAGGCTTTATTCTATGCCAGCACAAACAAGAAGGATCAGACCCATTGTGCTCTCTTGCCACTTGGCTTTTTCCCTCTTTGGGTGATAAATCTTGGGGATTTTTTGATGTCAGAACATATAGATCTGTAGCTGCTTTGCTTAAAGTTTTATTTTATTTAAAAGGTAGAAACACAGACACATACTATACACACAGACACAGACACACACTATACACACAGACACAGACACACATACACGCACAATCACCCATCGTTGGTTCAATTCCCAAATACCTGAAACACCCAGGGCCAGGCAAGGCACTATCAAGGAGCCAGGAATTCCATTTGGGTCTCTTGTGTACTTGAACTATCACCTGCTGCCTCCTAGCATGCACACTATCAGGAAACTAGAGTGTTGAGTGGAGCCGACACTTGAACTCAGGTGACCATTATGGGATACAGGCATCCTAAGTGGCACCTTAACCATCACACCAAATGCCTTCCCCTCATCTCTCTTGATTCTCACTGACAACCATGCGATTTCCAATGCAGAAACCCAATCTATCATTCCTGGGCCGTACTTAGTTATTTCTTGGGCTTGGTTTCCCCCTCCACTGGTTTGACAGCACTTTAAAAAGCAACTGACTTTTATTAATTCCTTCCAAATCATTCAACCCAGTTTTCATGGAAACTCCTTGTCTAGTCATATTTTGTAGGTCTATGTAATATCTTACTGAATATACAATTACAGTAAAAATACAACTGGCAAAAATAGGTTGGGAACAAACACACACGCACACACACAGTTGGTATTGGATGTGTGTGGCTGCCACCTGGAAGGAGCAGATGGGCCAGGTGTGGCTGAGAGCAGGCAGGTGCACCGGGCGTCCATCAGGGGGAGAGTGTTGCTTGGTCTAGCAAGATAGAGCACTGGAAGTTGTTTAAGAAGAACTTCCGCCACGGTGGCTGTTTTGTAATTGACCACTGTGGGCCAGGGGTGTGCTCAGTCTTCTCTCTTACTGTAAGTCATGCTGTAAGTCATGCCTCCCCGGTTAACACTGAGAACACTGACAGACAGACATCCTGCCTGGTTGAACATGTAGCTAGTGAGCGAGTGTTGGACCAAGAACTGCACACCAGTGGGTTGCTTTCCCGTGGCAGCCAGGGCGATCCCGTGGAGTACACAAGGGGTGAGAGGGGATGGTGGCCCCGAGAGTGACTTTTCTTTGGTCACCCCATCCCCCACCCCAGATTGCTGACTTGACCACGGAGCTTGCTGACGAGCGCTTCAAAGGCGACGTGGCCTGCCAGGTACTGGAGAGCGAGCGGGCAGAGCGGCTGCAGGCCTCCCAGGAACTCCAGGAGCTCAAGGTGAGTGGGCAGGGGTGGCCAGACAGGGTGGCCGGCTGGCAGGGGTCGGCCTGCACCCTGTGCCCACATCCAGGGTTAGTAAGATGCACAGGTTGACTGAGTTCCATGTACAAGATCCTGGGGGGATGGGTAGTTCTCCCAGAGGCTTGGTTTTGGAGGTGCCACGGAGGCACTGTCCTTGGCTATGAAGTCGCTATGGTCTGGGATTGTGCAGAAGGTGGATACTGCCTGGCCTTGGCGGTGTTTTTGGATCACGACCATGCAGGGGGCAGGCAGTCCCTGGCCGTGGAGGCACCATGGGTGCACTGAGGTCAGTGGCTCCATTGGTTTGGCCTCTGGCTGGGGACCTAATGGCAGATGATAATGTGGCAGCAGCATGTACAGGGGAGAGAGCAAGAGCAAGGAGAGAGAGAGGAGAGAGAGAGAGAGAGCAAGAGAGCCCGCTGCAGGGCAGGAAGTCAGAGCAAGGGAGAGGGCCCAGGCTTACTCCTTTGACATCAGCTTTTCCCAAGAACGAACTCAGGGACTCCAGAAAGGTTCCCTTAATTCTTTCCCAAGGCACAGCCTCGGTGACCTAAGAGGCCCCACCTCTGAATGTCACCGGACTGAAGACCAAGCTCCTGACACGGGGGCCCTTGGGGGACAAACTCAAAGCCCATCCCAACCGTAGCAGACCCAGAGCCCTGTCTTTCAGAGCAAGTATGAGCAAGTCCAGAAGAAGCTGGGAGAAGTGGAGAAGCAGTTGGAAGAAGCCCAGCAGAAAATCCAGTTGAGTGACTTGGAAAGGAATCGCCCTGGAGGAGGTGAGCTGCCTGGAACTCGGGGGTTGGGCGCTGGGGAACAAGGTTGCTGTTTTATCTCTATCATTCATTCATTCAGGGATACCCCCTGAGCACTTATTGTGTGCTGGGTGTTGTGTTAGGGCCTGGGACTTTGGCAGAGCAAACAGGCGCAGCCCCTGTGTTCCAGGAGCTCCCAGTCTCATGGGACAGGCTGGAATGGAACAGGTGACCCAATGAGGGCTCAAATGAGAAGTTTATCATTGTGGCTGGAGCTGTTTGTAATAATGCAAGGATGGAAAAAGTGGGTCTGTGGGAAGGCACCTTCATACTTACACATTTTTAAATGTGAATGTGAATGAGTCAGCTTGGAAGTTAAAAGTGAGACCCGTGAAATCGAATTTCTGGATTTGAACCTTGATTCCATCTTCGGATGATTGGATTTGGGCCAAGCAATTGTTGTGCCTTGGTTTCTTCATCTTTCAGATGGAGGTGATGATAGATTAATAGAAGAAGGTACAGCCCTGCGGGTGGCACAGAGCACGAAACAGATACTAGCTGCTTTATTGTTGTACTACTATTAATGGTGAAATTGCTAACCGTCCTTTTAACAACCAATAGGACACAAACGACTGCTCTTCCAGTTTGAGAGCTGATAAAGCTGTGTCAGGCACTCAGCAGGCATTGAGTGATGAGAAGGTGCGAGAACTCTTACTCTCCGCCCGCAATGCACCGGCTCAGAAGTGCCCTTCTCCCGCAATTGCCCGAGGACACCTCTCTTACGGTTGGCTGGCGTGGTGACATGGCTGTCAGCTTGCCACTGCGCCTCTCACTCTCCCCAGCCTAACAGAGCCAGGTGGAAAGGATGCCTAGTGTGTCAGCTTCTATAAAATCCTTCCATCACCCCTTCTGCATCCACAGAGAATGGATGCCCTTGAAATGTTGGGGATATACCCAGATGAAGGCAAATCAGGAGTGTGTGTGTGCGTATGTGTGAGTGTGTGTGTGTGTGTGTGTGTGGATAGTGCCATTTCCCCAGCGGAGTCTCAGCACCAGTTTCGTCCAGTTGAGATTCATGTCAACAATTGTGCTCCCCAGTTTGTTTTCTATGGGAAGATTGGGGAGTGGACGAAGGAAGGAGATACGTTTGGCTCCCAGGGACATTCATCATGATGCTAAATAGGCTCTCAGCTCTGGCTGCTCATTCCAGGAAGCCAACCCACAAATATTTTGTTTTTCATTATGAAAGTAATACGTACTCATTACAGAAAAATCTCTAAAGTATGGGAAAGTTGAAAGAAGCAATAAAACACTTTAATCATATCCGCCACAATGGCACCACAGCCTCCTCTATGGATCGAGCTGGGGTATAAATTATAAAAAATGTTTTCCCTTTATGCATGGCTAAATATTTAAAGAGAATCTCGTATGATATGCACCCAGTGCGGACTTGGACTCTGTGGGGGAGTACAGGAGAATTTTACTTGGGCTCTGCTCTCCAGAAACTTGGAATGCTAGCCTGGAGATCACGTGAACCCAGGAAGGCAGTGACCAGATGTAAGGGGCTGAATGACACCTGCTGATTGAGTGCCACCAGGGGCGGGGGGCGGCGCTGAGGAGGGCAAGACAGTTTCCTCACCTGGCCTGCTCGTGTTGCCCACTCGTGTCACTTGTCCACAGCCTGGCCTGATGCAGAGCTCAGAACTGCCCCCTAATGTTCCCTCTTGCTTTGCAGTCTGTGGTGCCTGCTGCTATGAGACACTTTCCTGATGGGGACACGGGCTTCTTCTCCCCTCGTATTGTTTATTTTGATGGCAATTTGAACAAATGTTAACTCCTTACTATTATGTCATTCTCTTAGATTAGTGATGTGGAAATCCCTATTGGGGTCATCTCTTCCAAGACCTTAACTGTATCCTCCATCCATTCATACAACCTCCTTTCATTGATTTATCCAGCTGTCAATCCACTCATCTCTCTATCCATCAATCATCCACCCATCCACCCACCATTCCTTCTGTTCACCCAACTGTCCACCTGTTAATCCTCTACCCTGCCATCTACCCAACCATACACATCCATCCATCCACCTATCCAATGAGAATAGTTGAACACTTACTATATGGTAGGCATTGGAGTGTGTTCTGAAGGAACAATGATTAATGAGATAAATTTGTTGCCCTTATGAACTTGAGTCCTCTTTTGGATTTTCTTATAAGGTCTCTGATCCTACTGGGGTGCAGCTGTATTTGCATGTTTTTTTCTACCACTAGATTATCTTGGAAGTAGATGGAAAGGTTTCTTATTCATTTCATTATCCTTTGTGTGTAGTTCAAACTCACATGCGCAATCAGTACTAGGATGAATGGACACACAGATGCACAGATGAACAAGTAGATGGTCTCTCTCTAATTTTTTTAAAGATTTGTTTATTTGGCTGGTGCCGCGGCTCACTAGGTTAATCCTCCGCCTGCGGCGCTGGCACCCCAGGTTCTAGTCCTGGTTGGGGCACTGGATTCTGTCCCGGTTGCTCCTCTTCCAGTCCAGCTCTCTGCTGTGGCCCAGGAAGGCAGTGGAGGATGGCCCAGGTGCTTGGGCTCTGCACCCGCATGGGAGACCAGGAGGAAGCACCTGGCTCCTGGCTTCGGATCAGCGCAGCACACCGGCCGCAGCAGCCATTTGGGGGGTGAACCAATGGAAAAAGGAAGACCTTTCTCTCTGTCTATCTCTCTCTCTCTCACTGTCTAACTCTGCCTGTCAAAAAAAAAAAGAGATTTGTTTATTTATTTGAAAGGCAAGAGTTACAGAGAGGCAGAGAGAGAGAGAGAGAGAGAGAGAGGTCTTCCATCCACTGGTTCACTCCCCAATGGCCAGAGTGGACCAGTACGAAGCCAGGAGCCAGGAGCTTCCTCCAGGTCTCCCACATGGGTGCAGGGGCCCAAGGACTTGGGCCATCTTCCATTGCTTTCTCAGCCATAGCAGAGAGCTGGATCAGAAGTGGAGCAGCCGGGACTCGAATCAGTGCCCATATGGGATGCCGGCACTGCAGGTGGTGGCTATACCTGCTATACCACAGCACTGGCCCTGATGGTCTCTATATTAACCTATCTGCTTATGCAGTGTTTTCTACAACTCCATTAACTAAAGAGGCATGATTCCATTATTTGTATTGCCAAAAAATAAAACATAAGAAGCTAAAGGAGTCCACTTTATTCCGCCAGATAATTTTAATCAAGTGAGCAAATGATTTTTTAAAACAAACCAGTATTATTTTGCATTTATTAGATCCTTAAATTATTGCTAATTCATTTATTTGCTAATTCAACCAACAGTCAATTATTGTGTGAACCGTGCCACCCAACAAGGTTGACTAGAGGGATAATTCTTTTTTCCTGATTATTTTTCTGGTTTCATTAGGCAATGGTGAGCTTATATCAACAACTACAGAGAATCTTTTATGTGTAGGGAACACTTCTGGATGTCACTGATGATGAAAATAGTTCCTTGGCCCTTAAGGATTATTATGGAATTGCCTTGGGAAAAGAAAGGCATGAACACCCAAAGCTTGTACAGACAAATGGTATAAGGCCACCCCATTCTAGGCCAGTATAGACAGTTGGGAGTAATCAGGACAGGCTTCCCGGAGGAAGTGTTTTTAAAAAACTTGAACTGAAAGCAGTTTCTTAGTGTGAAATCCAGGGTTGAGGGCCAGGGACTCTCTGAGTTCTGAGAAGTTGCATGCGGAGAGCCACTCTCACTCTGGCATCACGCTCACCTGTGCTCGCACCCTGGCCTCCCTGGCTCTGTTCCACAGCAGACGAGTGGCAGATGCGCTTGGACTGCGCCCAGATGGAGAATGAGTTTCTCAGGAAGCGTCTCCAGCAGTGCGAGGAGAGGCTGGACTCGGAGCTGACAGCCAGGAAGGAGCTGGAGCAGAAGGTAAGAAGAGGGCGTGCACTGTCTGGGCCACAGAGAGCCGGGCGGTGGGCGGGTTCTGTCTCACTGTGAGTGAGCAGGGAGCTGGCCAGTCCTGGGGCGGGAGCAGGAAGGCACCTGCCGCATCCACTCCTGTGGTGGATTACAAATCCTGCTTCCTGTGGGAAAGGGAAAATGCCTTCCCGACCTGCGGGTCTGCTACCAACTGCATCCCTCTCCATGCTGCACGGACCTGGTGGGAATCACTTTCCATTTGGGGCTGAGATCATTGTAATATGCTCCTAAAATAATCGCTCCGTACCCACTCCCGCTGCCTCTAATCTCTCACCTCGGCCAGGGCAATGCCTCCCTGTGCTTGCCTCCACTGCCAGCCACACCGCAGCCAGGAGATCTTTCCGGGACTCCTCGCACGGTTCCTGATCCATCCCGATGACGCTGATCCTCGGGCTGGATCGTTCCCCTTATGTGCTTTGTGAATTTTCATTGTGAGCTCATCTCCAGCAGGTCCTGCTACCCCAGCAGCTGCAGAATTTCTTCATTGCAGGATATTTCTTTCTTCCCCTCTTCTCTCATGGTAGATTTTTTCCTTTGGTCTGTGTGTGTTTAGCTATTTGGTTTTTAATATTATTATTATTATTATTATTATTATTATTATGACCGGATATTAAGCGGGAGATTTTAGCTTTCTTTCTATTTACTGGTTTGATGGGAGGGGAGGCTTCTGATGATAGAGTTGCAGGTGCATCCCTGTAGAAGCAGCTCGATTGCGCCTTCTGTGGGTTCACTCGGAGATTTCTCTGTCACAGATCTTCACAGTGTGTGGAAAGAGTCCAGTAATGTCTTCACCCACATGAGGCATAGACCTGGGGTTGTGATTCCCTAGGGCAGTGCTTTCTCCCTAAGCTAGAGCCAGGATTCCTCAGCTTTCTTCCCTCCTTCCAGGCCAGGGGGCAGGGTGTGTGTTGTTCCTTCTGACGGACGTGCCGGCTCTTTGAAGGGTGTGAGGATGGGAGAGCCTTTGTCTGTCGCTGCACCTGCCATGGGCTAGGGCCTCGTCTCCAGCTTTTGTGCTGACCGCCGCCAGTGTGCTTCTTGCTTTGTGTCTCAGCATTTCTTTCTTTCTTTCTTTCTTTTTTTTTTTTTTGACGGGCAGAGTTAGACAGAGAGAGAGAGAGACAGAGAGAAAGGTCCTCCTTTTTCCGTTGGTTCTCCCTCAAATGGCTGCCGCAGCCGGCGTGCTGCGCCGATCCAAAGCCAGGAGCCAGGTGCTTCTCCTGGTCTCCCATGCGGGTGCAGGGCCCAAGCACTTGGGCCATCCTCCACTGCCTTTCCGGGCCACAGCAGAGAGCTGGCCTGGAAGAGGGGCAACCGGGACAGGATCCGGTGCCCCAACTGGGACTAGAACCTGGGGTGCTGGCGCCGCAGGCAGAGGATTAGCCTAGTGAACCGCAGCGCCGGCCTGTATCTCAACATTTCTGATAGCCTGGAGCTTCCCTTTCTTTCTTGTAGCCAAAGCTGTTACCCAAGCTGCATTGCAAATACAATGTAACTATGTAAAAAAGTACATTAGGCAGTGTCAAAAATGTACAATGTTATATGCATATATTATGTATGAGGGCCTTTCAAACATTTCCTGGAAGAACAGAATTAAAAGCTAAATTTCAGGACTGCATTGTGGCACAGCAGGTTAAGCTGCTGCCTGAAGCACCAGCATCCCGTATGAGCGCTGGCTCAAGTCCTAGCTGCTCCGCTGCCAATCCCACTCCCTGCGGATGCACCTGGGAAGACAGTGAGAGATGGTCCAAGTGCTTGGGCCCCTGCCACCCATGACGAGACCTGGGTGGCGTTCCAGGCTGCTGGCTTCAGCCTGGGACATCCCCGGCTGTTGCAGCCATTTGGGGAATGAGGCAGCAGTTAAAAGATCTCTCTCTCTCTCTCTCTCTTTCTCTCTTTCTCTCTCCCTCTCTCCCTCTCTCTCTGCCTCCCTCCCTCCCTCCCTCCCTCCTTCTCTTGGTGTAGCTCTGACTTTCAAATAAATATTTTAGGCAAAAGCTTAGCTTATTTTGATGCAAAAATCATCTTGGAACTAATGCAGTGTTTGTCATAATAAGCATTTCCCACCAAGGTTCTGCAACATGTTTGTGGAAAGTTACCATGATACAGGTTTTTTTAGTGTGTGTGTGTGTGTGTGTGTGTGTGTGTGTTCTTAGCCTTTCTAGATGAATGTGGTGGTAGTCTGACCCCTTTGCCTGTCTTCCATTGTCTCCGGTTATCCTGAATCTGCGTTCTAACAAGTCTGTATTGGTAAGTCTAACCACTGGTGTGCTAATAGATGGCTTTCAGAGAAGAAACGAGCCCCCGTTTGTAGCATTTGCCGGTGTCCGTGGTGTAAACACCACTCTTGGCCAGTTGCCGTCTGCCACCGTGGTGCCGCTGGCCGTCAAGCTTGGAAGAGCTGTGCGTGGCTGGCTCCCGTGAGTCAGCCGGTGCCGCTCAGCCTGGGCTCCCTTCCAGTCACACCGGCTGCTTTCGCACCTCTGGGCCTTTGCATGCACTGTTGTTGCTTCACAGAACACCCCCGTCCTCCTGCCGAGGTAGCCCCACCTGTTTTTTTTTTTTTTTTAATTTCCATTGTAATACTAAGGTTAAGAGAACAGATTTAACCTAGTTCATGGGTGCCGTTCTAAGAGTATAATGATCCTTCCCTTCACCATCTGTTCTTAGGGTATCCACCTACAGGTCACTCCTTTTTATTATTTTTTTAAAGATTTTTTTTTTGAAAGTCAGAGTTATAGAGAGAAAGGGAGAGAGAGAGAGAGAAAGGGGGCAGAGAGAGAGAGAGAGAGAGAGAGATCTTCCATCTACTGGTTCACTCTGCAAGTGGCTACAATGGCCAGGCCTGTGCCAACCTTAAGGCATGAGCCAGGAGCTTCTAACGGCTTTCCCACATGGGTGGCAGAGGCCCAAGCACTTGGGCTACGTCTCTTTCATTCCCAGGTGCATTAGCAGGGAGCTGGATGGGGAGTGGAGCAGCCAGGACACGAACCAGCATGCACACGGGGCACCAGCACTGTAGGCAATGGCTTTACCCGCCACACCACAATGCTGCCCCCGTGTCACTCCCCTTAGAAAGTCTTGGCAGACATGGGCTGTGCCTGAATTGCTTCTCCCAGTAGGAGCCTGATCATGGTGTATTGTAATTGATCTGCCCACTTCTCATTCTGCCTGCCGTAGGGTGGGGACGGGAGGGGCTTGTTCTCCGGTCTCGCTGATGCGTCCTCAACGTGCAAGATATGCAGAGGTGGGTGCACGCGAGATCTCGGCAGGTTCTGCCAGCAGTGGAGGAGGGAGCTCGGTGGCCTCCATGGTGGTGGTGCTGGTTCAGTGGTTGCTTGCAAGATGGGCATCCGGTTGCGTGTCTCCAGAGCTGTCCTGGGCTGTAGATGAACGCAGAAGCACAACCGCAAGGAAGCAGCTGGGTTCTTTCCCTAACAAATTATAAAGTCAGGTCAGCCTCCCCGAGGAAGGGGGATATTCATGCTACATTAAAAAGTAATAAAGCTGCAACCTTTTCAGAGTGGTGGAATATAAGAAAACATCCCATTTGCCTTCAAATACTGAATCTAGAATTACAGGCTTCATTAACCCGGAGTTTTGCTTATTTAAAGCAATTCTTTAATGAGGCCATTTCTTCAAAGCCAGAATGCTGAGTTGCACTCTTCCCCACGTCTAAACTAGGGCACCCGGGAGGGTGTTTCCTGCGGGGGATGCAGGAGGCTCTGCTCCCCTGGTTCTCGGAGGCTGCGCACCATGCAGCCCAGCCAGGGCACTACTTCCAGCTTTCACCCGAAAGGCGAGGCCCGTCCCGCGGGTTTCCTGCTCAGGTTTTCTAGGTGTGCCTTTCTGCTGGCTCCACGGCTCACCCTCCCTCACCTCCCTGGACTGATGCAGCTCAGTTATCTGGTGCCCAAGGGGATGTCGAATAGAGGCAGGGCAGATAGAGAGTCTGGTGCAGGGGAAAAGCCTCCGCCTGTGGCACCAGCATCCCACATGGGTGCCAGTTCGTGTTCTGGCTGCTCCTCCTCCAACCCAGCTCCCTGCTAATGCACCTGGGAAGGCAGTAGAGGATGGTCCAAGTGCTTGGGCCGCTGCACCCATGTGGGAGACCCAGAGGAAGCTCCTGGCTTTGCCTGGCCCAGCTATAGCCATTGTCGCTATTTGGGGAGTGAACCAGCAGATACAAGACCTTTCTCTCTCTCTCTCTCTCTCTCTAACTCTAACTCTAACTCTAACTCTAACTCTACCTCCTAAATAAATACATCTTTAAAGAGTCTGTGGGTTGCTGGCAGAAGGTTTACTGAGAAAAAGTAAAAACAACCCTAGGAGACTGGTGAATTTACCCCATTTTACCTCTGAGCAAACTGAGGCTCAGAGCAGTAGCTTCCTGTAGGTGCCGCAGGCCAGAGGGGGTCAAGACTGAGTGACTCTGGCTCCAGTGTCTCCTGCCCATGACTCTCACTTTGGCCGCAGCAGCTCCTTGAGCTTCGGTTGACTGCCTGCATCCATGGATCCCGTGTCTAGGGGTTCAGCCTGCCACGTGTTGCAAATACTTGGGAAAAAATCAGTTGTGCATGCACAGACATCTTGGTGCTCAACGTTACTCCCTAACAACAGAGTTTAGCTGTTTACGTGGCATGTACATTACATTAGGTGCTGTAAGGCATCCGGAGATGATCTAAAGGATGTGGGAGGGGGTGTGTGGGTCCCATGCAAATACTCTGACTTCTTATTCCAAGGGACTTGAGCGCTCATGGATTTTTGGTGTCTGTAAGCGTCCTAGAAGGAGTCCCCTGTGGATTCCAAGTGATGACTGTTTGAACTACAAAGCCCATTCGGTAGCGGCACCGCGGGATAATGCTTTCTGTTACTCCCGCAGCTTGGGGAGCTGCAGGGTGCCTACGAAGGGGCCAGGAAGGCAGCCCAGCAGCTGAAGAGGAAGTGCCACCACCTGACCTGTGACCTGGAGGACACCCGGGTCCTGCTGGAGAACCAGCAAAGCCGAAACCACGAGCTGGAGAAGAAGCAGAAGAAGTGAGTTGCGGCCCACACCATCCCCTGGGCTAGCAGGGTGGGCTGCCTTGGGACTGGCTCCTGGTGGGGACTCCATGTTCTCCTGCAACACCCCCCCCCCCCCCACATCTGCCAGTCTTTCTTTTCCACGGGACTTAGTCCTTTTGATCCGCATTGATTTTCTTCCTCTCTGCCTCACATCTTACCCCTGCATGGCTCTCCCAAGAATCCAGCAAGAAATGATTCTTTTATCTTACCCAGGCTTGGCTGTTATCCGTTGACCATCTGACCTAGGGGAACTTCCCCGGGCTCTGGGCTTCAGCATCCACATTTGTCAAATGAAGGATTTGTCACAAGGGGGTCAAAGCAGCTTAGCGTGGTCGTTAGGAGCACAGATAGTGAACCATCCTGGGTTGGGGTGGGTGTCTGGCTTAATGGTTAAGACATCCACCTCCCATAGGGGAGTGCCTAGGTTTGAATCCCACCTCCGGCTCCTGACTCCAGCTTCCTGCTAAGGCAGAGCCTGGGAGGCAGCCATGTGAGCAGTAAGAGCTCCTGCCATCTACATGAGAAACCTGGCTTGAACTCCTGGCTCCCAGTTCTGACCCCAGCCCAGGCCAGCCATTGCAGACTCTGGCGGTCAGTCTCTGTCTCCCAAAGGAACGATTCTGGTTCAAGTGCCAGCTGCGCCTCTTTCTAGTTGTGTGGCCTTGAGGAGCAGAGCATTCGACCCTTCTCATCCTTATTGGTAGGTTGGGGCTGAGGACACGGCCCTTTGGGCAGTAGGGCTGAGTAGTTCAGATTCTCACTCCTACCCCATTGTTGAAAATGAGGAGGAGGAAGCCAAGAAATCTCCGCCCTTCTCATTTCAGCCTCAGACTCCCAGATCACGGGAGCAGTTCCAACAGGGACTGGACCTTGTGCACAAGTGAGATCCCAACCTTGAACCTGCAGGCTCATTCCCATACCTGCTTTCCTGTCGGGAGCTGCCCGTTAGGTGACAGGGGAGCCTGGATGGGTCGCCAGGCCCACACTCCTGGGCTTCCTTATGCAAAACCTTGGCTTCTGTGAGGCTTTGACCCCTGGACAACTCGGCTGTGTCTGCAGTTCTTCTGCTGTCTTGTCTTGGTGTGGGCAGCGGCTTACTGGGGTCCTGGATTGAGAAAGCCTGGCCCCATCAGAGACTCCATAGGCAAGAAATAGGTGAACATAGCCTCTCTTAGAAGATCCAGAACAAAAGAGGGAAAAATATTCCTGTGTGAGTGAAGACATGAGTTTGCTGAGGGTGTCTCTTTTCCAAGAGGTTGCAAGTAGAGAACTGCACTTCCATGGGGTTGGCATATATTTCTTTTATTATTTTTAATATTTAGTTATTTATTTAAGAGGTAGAGGTACAGAAAGAGAGAGAGAAATGAAAGAGAGAGAAGCAGAGAGAAATGTCATCTGCTGGTTCACTCCTCAAATGGCCGCAATGGCCAGAGCTGGGCTGATCTGAAGCCAGGAGCCTGGAGCTTCTTCAGGGTCTCCCATGTGGGTGCAGGGGCACAAGGACTTGGGCCATCTGCTGCTGCTTTCCCAGGCACATTAGCAGGGAGCTGGATTGGAAGTGGAGCAGTTGGGACTCGAACCACCCCCATATGGGAAGCCTGCGCTGCAGGCGGGGCTTTACCTGCTGCACTACGGCGCCAGCCCCTCTCGTTGATATTTACAGCCTATCTTTCTCCCTCCCCATGGATGGCCTGGCTGAACCTTCCCCGGAAATGGGGGAAACGGCTCAGTTTCACCTTGGCCACCTGCTGTGTGGCCTTGTGAAATGACACTGCCTCTCTGGGTCAGGGAGAAACTGATGTTCCGGAGGTGGCCTTGGACTGCACAGGTCACGATGACCAAGAACGGCTCTGGCAGGCCCCGTGGGTAGCAGGAGAGCTCTGGACGCTCCTTCCTGCCCCAGGTTTCTCCCAGCCGTGGCCATCTTGGTGCTCACTGTGGGCTCCTCACTCCCCTTCTGTGAGCCTTTCAACTCCCTTACGGGTGGGATGCTGGCCTCCGGGCCAGGAAAATTCCATCTCTGCTTTCCCACACTCCCTTAGGCAGAGCCCCTCGTTCCTGGGACTCGTGACGCCCTTCATGGAAAGTGCCCAGGTCTTCCTCCTTTCACGCCGTACCTTGGGATGCCGTCTGCCCTGCCACCATCTCTTGGCAGAGGCACGTTTTGATGTGAAATGCAGATAGCAGGTGCATTAGCATTTTATTAGGGAACCTATGGGAGCAGCAGACGCCTCAGTCTAGAGGTCCAGATCCTGGAGAAGGTGGGATCTAGCAGGCTCAGCCCTCCATGCAGAGCCAACTTGTGGACACAGCTGCCTCCTTGCTTTGTGTATACAAGAGGGTGTGGTGTCTCTGTCCCACCTTGTCCCCTGCCTTGGCTTCTACATCAGAGTGTCTCAGAAAGATTCCTTGTGGGTGTGGCTTCTTGTTGCCATGGTTACCCTGCCCCTGAGTCACAAAGGTTGGAACTCTCAGAGGTAAGCCCCAGACGAGGCTCATGGACTCCAACATTTGTGGGAGGCTGGACCCCAGGCCTGCTCTTTGAGGGAGGGGGTGTGTGTGTGTGTGTGTCAATCTGTCTGGCCCAGGTGGTTGGCTGTTCACTGTGTTCTAGAAGGTGGGGGTCTGTGTCCATTCTTTGGCGTCAGACGACCTGTTGAATCAAGGACTGCTCCGGAACATCAGTCACACCTGGTCCCTATGTCTCACCTCACCTGTCCCGGGGCACGGACAGGTAGATGGGGGAGGGGCCATCTAAGACACTGGGGAAGCTGGGCTCAAGTGTACTTCCACCACTTGGGGATTTGGGGCTGAACTACCCTCTCTCTCTGAACTTCCACTTCCTCCTCTGCAAACAGAGAGGGCATCACGTCATCATGTTTCTTTCTGTATTGGTCAAAGGCCTGGCATCTCGGGGCTGCTGGGTCATCACCATCCTCACAGCAAAAAGCACGTCTTGAATGATGTCACCAACAGCCAATCAGAAAGCTTCTGGGCTATGGGGCCTACCTTACGTCGTGTGTCATCGGCCTTGTTGGGAGTCTGAGACTTTGAGTGACTGCCAGGTATAAAGGGGCATTGCATCCACTTTTAACAAAGGAGCCCTTCTTGCCCCAAAGGCCCAATGCCCGGCCCAGTTCTGCTGCTTGAATTTCGTGGGAGCTGAGGGGCACTGGCTCCATGTGCCACCTTGATGAGGTTTGGCCAAGGCCCCTGAACCAGTTTCTTCACCTGAGATGGGGAGAGAAGGCTGGGACAACCCAAATGAATGACAGAAACTCCTGGAACTTGCCCTCACCTAGTGTCACCGTCATGGAGGTAGCAGGGGAGCTGCCAGCTTGGCATTCCTTAATCCCCTGGCGGCTCCCAGAGGGATTATTGAGTCTTTGCTTTCTTGCTAGGGAAAACAGTGAGGACAAGAGATAATGTGACAATGCCTGGCACTCCACCAGCCATCAGCACGCTTCAGCATGGCCTATGAGCACATCAGCCAGACCACATGTCAAGTAGGCAACGTAGAATCCCCTTGTTAGTGTGAGCACAGATGGGTGACTACATGTGCATACGTAGGTTTGTTCATCGGTCAGGATGTTAGATGCCAAACCCGAGCCAGGGAGAGCTAACAGATCTTTACAAATAAACTCACTGAGCCTTTTTTCTATATATTTATGTATTTGTAATTTTTCTTTTATATCTGCATATAATTGTATTATACTTTTCATCTTTGCCTGCATATATCAGATTTTTAATAAGCATCCAATATTTTGTGGAAACTCAAAACCTTGCTCTGAATTCTTACCACACAACTACCACCTTATAGAAAAGCATCGAGTGATACTTCCATCATTCTGTCTCTCCTCTCCATCTCTATCACCTATCTTATCTATCTGTGTCATCTATCATCTATTTATCTATCTATTCATCCATGTACCCACCTACCCATCATCATCCAACTCCCTTCCTTCCTTCCTCCCTCCCTCCCTCCCTCCCTCCCTCCCTCCTTCCCTCCCCTCCCCTCCCCATCATCTATCTCTGTCTCTCTTTCCTTGGCTCCCAGGAACCTAACTCCTTCTATTGAGCCCCTCCCTAACCCTGCCTCATTTTCCTCTGCCATGGGGCTACAGTGGGTGTATGTTTTGCCCTAAACAGGTTTGACATGCAGCTGGCCCAGGCCCTGGGTGAGTCCGTGTTTGAGAAGAGCCTCCGGGAGAAGGTGACCCAGGAGAACACCAGTGTCCGGTGGGAGCTGGGCCAGCTCCAGCAGCAGCTGCAGGTAGGTGGTGGAGTGAGCGCTCTAGGCTCTTGGATGCTGGATCTAGTGCCGTCATGTACCTACTGCAGGTGGTGTCAAGAAGAGAACCCTGGGCAGGTGTTCTGGTCTGCCAGGTGGCTGGAGTCACAGGTCCCAGCGTGTCTTAAGAAAACAAACAGCGGCTGGCAGGTTGACCATTAGATCCCCTTAGCTTAGTGTCATGATCTTGCTCCAGGCACCTGCACAGGTTCCGAGTAGCTGCCAGGGAGGTGTAACTGGCTCAGCAGAGAAGGACTGAGCTACAGTGCTGTCCAGGAGCAGCACCCTGCCCCTGCTGGCTCCAGCACAGAGGGATTTTATTCAGATGTGATATGGGCACCTCCCTTGGCTTCTCCTTATCCTTCCATGGCTCCCTATCACCCCGAGAAGAACCGTTGGGCCCCTCAGCCTGCCATCCAGCAGTCTCGGGATCTAGCACCCACTTCTTGGACCCTGGGGTTGACTTTCTAACGTGGGAGAGTAATCACTGGATGCTTTGCTAACGTGCTCCAGCGTCTCCATTGCCACTTCGGCGAGTGCACCGGGAAGCTTTAGTGTTGTGCCCTCCCCCACCCCACGCACCTTGCACGTGGGGCAAGCACCTGTGGGTGCTCAAGGGACCACGTCCTTGCTCTCCCACAGTCCCATTCCCGTGCCTGTCCCATGAGGTGGTGGGAGGAGCTGGGAGGCTGAGTTGTGAAGGCTCACATTTGTTCCAAGTATACCAATGCCACTCCCACAGCCTGCGGAGATGTCCCTGCTGGGGAGGGGGGCGGGCTCCTGGGACTCCCAGCCTCCGCCCTCTCTGTCTCTGTAGAAAAAGGAGCAGGAAGCCTCGCAGCTGAAGCAGGAGGTGGAGATCCTGCAGGACCAGAAACGGGAGCTGCTGGGGTCCTCCTCCATGGGAGAAGATTGTGTCGCTGCCTTGAAGGAGAGGCTCTGGAAGCTGGAATCCAGCGCCCTTGAGCAACAGAAAATCCAGGGCCAGCAGGAAAGCACCATCAAGCAGCTGGAGCAGGTAGGAGGCTCAGCCCCACGCTGGCTCCAATGTGATGCCATTCACTTAGGACACGGGTGCCTCACTTAGTTGTGTCTCATCCTTCGGTGGCTCCCTAGTGCCCAAGAGAACCTCTCGACTCTTAACTCTGCCATTCAGGTTCTTCATGGCCCTAGCCCTCTCCTGGCCTTCTGCAAGGTCCAGGGCCACCTCCTCAGGGAAGCCTGCCTTGATCACCTTGCACCCGAACTCCACTCCACGTTCATTCTCCAGGTCTTTGGCTGTTGTGTTTCCTCCGTGGCACCTGCATATTATACATAGTGCTGTTTAGAAATTGCCTGATGCCTTTTTCCTTCATTAGGATATAAGCTTCAGGAAATTAGTTTTGTGTTACTTTTTTTTTTTTTTTTCGGCAGTCTTGCTTATCAGTGCATCACCAAAGCATAGAATGAGCTCAGGTATATAGCTGGTGCTCAAAAGTTGCCTGCCGACCACCTGATCATGTACTGAGCACTCTGCATGTTGGACTCAACTGTATACTCCTCCCTCGTAGCCCCCTTATGACTCCTCATAGGTGGAGAGATCTTCTTAGTATTAACCCCACTTTATAGATGGGAAGTTGAGGCTCAAAGGCTGATGAGGTTTGGAACCTGTATCATGTGACCTGCTGGTGCCTTGAATGCCTGCTACGTGCATGGCCTCAGGCACAGCCTCGAGGCCGATTGGAAACCTAAAGTAACCAAGGACCTAAGGCAGTGGGGTCCAGTATTCCAGTGCCTGAATTCTTAATGAAAGCATTATTGGACTGCTTGTTGATTTACACTTGTCTACTTCACCCCATAAAGAATTGGATGTCCTGGTAAGACATGTGCACAGTAACATAGTACAATTACAAGTCAAACAATCCAAGCCAGAAAAATACTTATTAACATACACCCAAAGGAGCAAGTGGGAACGATGAATTAATATGCAGATATGCAAATCACAGGCTCTTACACACATCACAGTTTTAGTTTTAAAATTCCTGGTGTCCAGAGAGAAAAAGGAAAGGTGTTACGTGCCTTTTCTTATTCCTAAGAAAAAAATCAAACCAGATTTTCAAAAGGGGAATGAGGTCATTTCTGATGTTTAGCTTTAAAAAGCAATCTCTCCTGTGGAATTTCACGTGAGTGTTTTGTTTTGCTTTTTGTTCTTAAAGATGTATTTATTTATTTGAAAGGCAGAGTGACACAGAGAGAAGGAGACACAAAGAGAGATCTTCCACCTGCTGGTTCACTTCCCAGATGCCTGCAACAGCCAGGGCTGGGCCAGGCGGAAGCCAGGAGCCTGGAACTCCATCCAGGTCTCATATAGGGTAACAGGAACCCAAATACTTGGTCCACCACCCGGTGCCTCATAGGCTTATTAGTAGAGAGCCGGATCAGAGGCATGGAGGGGCCAGGACTCAGACCAGGCAGTCAGATATGGGATGCAGGGCCCCACGTGGCAGCTTAGCCCGCTGCTCCCCAGTGCCTACCTAGCATGTTCTGTTTTGTTTAAGATGGGGAGCCCCCTGTGCAACAAAGTGTGGCCAGGGAGCATGAGTATTTAAAGCAGGTGAGCTCTGAGCAGCCCTGTTGAAGCGAGGGTGGGGTGGGTGAGCCAGGATGCCAACCTTGGCTTCTCCTTCCTCCCTTTCCATGAAGATGGAGCCCCCTGAGTACAGGGGTGGTGTATGTGGAGGGCAGGAGCTGGGGAGTCTTGTGCTCATGAGGGGGCTCATTTCTTTGTCAGTCAGCCCATTTTCTTCCCTTTTCTTTGTAAAAAAAAGAGACTTATTTATTTATTTATTTATTTAAGAGGCAGAGCTACAGACAGGGAGAGACAGAGAAAGGTCTTCCATCGGCTGGTTTACTCCCCAAAGGGCTGCAACAGCTAGAGCTGGGCCAATCCAAAGCTAGGAGTCAGGAGCTTCTTCTGGGTCTCCCACATGGGTGTAGGGGCCCAAAGACTTGGCCCATCTCCCACTGTTTTCCCAGGTGCATCAGCAGAGAGCTGGATCTGGAAGTAGAGCAGCTGGGACTCAAACCAGCGCCCTATGGGATGCCGGCACTGCAGGCAGAGGATTTACCCCCCATGCCACAGTGTCAGCTCCTCCCATGAGCTATTTTTGAAGTCCTTCTTGTAACCTTAGGCAAGCTTGAATCTTTCCTTTTTTTTTTAAGATTTTATTTATTTGACAGGTAGAATTACAAACAGTGAGAGAGAGAGAGACAGAGAGAAAGGTTTTCCATCCGCTGGTTCACCCCCCAAATGGCCACTATGGCTGGAGCTACACTGATCCGAAGCCAGGAGCCAGGTGCTTCTTCCTGTCTCCCATGTGGGTGCAGGGCCCAAGTACTTGGACCATCCTCCACTGCCCTCCCAGGCCACAGCAGAGAGCTGGACTGGAAGAGGACCAACCTGGACTAGAACCCAGTGCCCTTATGGGATGCTGGCGCTGCAGGTGGAGGATTAACCAAGAGAGCCATGGTGCCGGCCCCTCGAGTCTTTTCTAGACTTCAGCCTCCTCGCCAGTGTGATGAGGTTGAGATACGGGGGAGCTGCCCATCCCTTGCCTTCCCCGCAGTGAGTCCTTGGGGAAAGCATCGTTGTTGGTAGAGGTCACCGAGGGACAGGAGACCTGACACAAGGTCAAGGAGCAGCCCAGTGTTCTTTAAAGGGGGCTGTCCAGGACCACGAGTGCAGTGAGCACTGGGGAAAACTGCGTTAACCCTGCAAGGAACCCCCAGCGATGACTCAGGGCTTGGGAAGTGTCCCACTGAGACCAGATGGCGGGGACAGGGAAGTCACTGCTGCTCCTTGAATTCCATGATCAGCTGACACGGGGGAGAGGCTGACTCCACGTCCACCCTCAGCTTCAGCCGTAGCCTCAGGCTGAACCGGACCCTTGCAGACATCTCATAGATATTTATTGATTCGAATACACAGCACATTCCCCAGGGAACTTTACGTGAACTCCGGTGAGCTTGACATAAAATGGTTTTGCAGATGTCATAGTGTCCAAGAGGCTGGGGGAAAAAGTGAGAATGAAATATCATATTTACTTGCTCGGGCTTTTCATTTTGGATTATCTTCCCATAACCTTTGTTGTTTTAAAGGAGAGAAGGAAGGAAGTTGACATTTAAAGCGAGCCTGCTTTATGCCAGGAGCTGCAACAGGGGCTCTGATGTGCGTGAGCCTTTTTTACTCTTCACAGTCTTACACAACAGGAAATATTTTCAGCATTTCAGAAGACCAAGCTTGTTTTTTTTTTTTTTTCTCCGCTCAGTTTTCACCTTGGGGACATCAGTTCTGAGCTTCCGGAAGCCTAGTGGGAGGCAATGTGGCAGTGCTGTGGTTTCCACTCACTTGTAGTCTTACTCTGCGTGGTTTCATTTCCCTGTGGGCAACAGGAATCCAAAAGTACTAAACGGAAAATTCCAGAAATAAACACTCTATAAGCTCTAAATCTTGTGCTGTTCTGAGTCACGGGATGAAGTCCCCAGCCATCCCGCTCTGTCCCACGTGGGGCTTGAACGCCCATGTGTCCATGCTGTGTGTGCTGCCCTCCCATTAACCACCCAGAGCCCTCCTGGTTCTCAGGTTGGCCGTCAGGGTATCAGGGTGCCTGTGTACAAGCAGCCCTTATTTTGGTTAATAACAGACCCCAAAGTATAAGAGCAGTAATGCAAAGAAGGCAACAGGGCATGAACATGGATGGACAGGTTTGTTCTAGGGTTACCTGGCGATACTGCAGTGCATACAGGAAATCATATACCCAAGAATTCTATATACATATATAGGGGTTGGCACTGTCCATGGTTTCAGGTACCTACTGGGGTCTTGGAAAGGATTATCTATGGATAAAGGGGCACCGCGTTAGTGTTAGCGCTCAGAACATTGTGTTATGTTTTTTTTTTTTTTTGGACAGGCAGAGTGGACAGTGAGAAAAAGAGAGACAGAGAGAAAGGTCTTCCTTTTGCCATTGGTTCACCCTCCAATGGCTGCTGCAGCTGGCGCACTGCGCCAATCTGAAGCCAGGAGCCAGGTACTTCTCCTGGTCTCCCATGGGGTGCAGGGCCCAAGCACTTGGGCCATCCTCCACTGCACTCCCTGGCCACAGCAGAGAGCTGGCCTGGAAGAGGGGCAACCAGGACAGAATCCGGTGCCCCGACCGGGACTAGAACCCGGTGTGCTGGCGCCGCAGGCGGGGGATTAGCCTAGTGAGCCGCGGCGCCGGCCAGAACGTTGTGTTTTCTTCGATGTCTTTCATCTGCTGGGCTCCGAATCCTGCCCCATGGAGCAGCAGTGTGAGAGAAACGAGAGTGAAAGCTTCGTAGTTTAGGTCGCTGAGCTCTGTTCTCTGGAGAATTGATGGGAAAGATCTGGAGTGGAGCCCCGGCATTGAAATGCTTTCTAAAGGAAGGAAGTCGTGGTGTGCCCTGGAGTGTGGGAAGCAGAGGCCTGTGCCAATTATGCAGAGCAGGAAAGAGAAATCTTGCACTGGAGCCCATGACTGTTGCCTCCCATTCTAGAACCTTCTGTCCAAGCTCACCCCAGGTGAGCTGTGCGCAGCTCTCTTGTGCTGCAGATGTGTGTGGGGGACTGTGGTTTGCAAAAGCAGCTCCTTTCTGGCACCGTAGGTCTTCACTGTGTCCAGCTGACGGTGAGGGAGGGGACAGTCTTGCAGGGACTGGGCTCTGTGGTTTGTGTGGGTCGTCTTATTTAATTTGCATAGTAGCATTCCAGGATGCTACTGCATTTCTACAGAGAAAGGAAATTAGAGGGAAAGTGAATTGTATGTCATTTCCCTCTTCATATCTTCATAAACTTTGTCCAACTATCCACTCACCTGTGCACACATCTGCAAAACCATTGCTGATACCTGTTTGAGGCATGACATGCTTATTTGAGCTTGAGTGTTGAGAAGGATTCTGAGGTTGCATCCAAACTCAGTCAGAGAATGTGACTGATCAGTGATATCTGTTATAGCCGTCAGGAAGGATACAGGCAGTGTTTGGGCTATGTGTCTACCACTTCTGGCCTTCCAGGGTGTCCAGGGAGAAACCTGACTCTCACTCATTCATTCCCAAACTGACAAGTGCGGTAGGAATGCTAAGGGTGTCAGGGAGGGCCCGCGGAGTCGGAGTGGGTCACCCTCATGTGCTGTCCTTGCCTCCCGCCAGCTCCGCCAGCAGTTTGAGCTGGAGATCGAGCGGATGCAGCAGATGTATCAGAAGGACCGTGAGGACAAGGAGGAGGAGCTGGAGGACGTCCGTCAGTCCTGCCAGAAGCGGGTATGTGCACAGGCAGCGCAACTGTGCCGGGGTCTGCTGGGCCCAACCTGGGCGCCCTAGGTCTGGGGTCAGGCTCTTTCTGCAACCATCTGATGGCTTCGAAGGGTTCAGGAACAGAAGTACCTGCCCTAAATATGTTTCTGGAACTGTCTAGAAATCCCTGGAACTGTCTCTGGAGGTCTCCCATCCACTGGTTCACTCCCCAAATGGCCACAATGGTCAGAGCTGGGCTGATCCAAAGCCAGGAGCCAGAAGTCTCTTCTGGGTCTCCCACGTGGGTGCAGGGGCCCAAGGGCTTGGGCCATCTTCTACTGCTTTCCCAGGCCATAGCAGAGAGCTGGATGGGACATGGAGCAGCCGAGACTCAAACCAGTGCCCATATGGCATGCCATGGCTGCAGGTGGTGGCTTTACTCACTATGCCACAGCGCTGGCCCCACCACCTGCCCTGGACAGATTTATAAAGGTGTTTTCTCCTTACAGCAGATGCTAGCATGGGCTTCACATTCTAGTGACTTCTCTGTCCAGTCTCTCTCTCACCATGGCAGGAAATCGATTGTGAGTGACTTAGGGGGAAACACCATGGCTCCCCGGGGTGGCCGACATGGCTGGGGCCGGGAGACAGGACACTCATTCCTCTCGGCACCCGCTGATGGAAACATCTGCACTTTGGCTCTTCCCCGAGACTCAATTTGCCCAATTCATGAAGCTGTGTCAGCAGCAACAGCAGGTGGAGGTGGAGATTGGAGGAGATAAAATTACACTAGGGGGTCTTCAAAAAGTGCCTGGAAATTGAGCTAAAAGATCAAGTTATTTTGGTGTTCAAACTGTTGAGGGCCAGGCATAGTTTTTTTTCCCACAATACCCTCTGCCTTTGTGAAGACAAAGAGAGAGAAGCTGGTGGAGACACACAGCACAGCCACAGCCGGGTGTTCCCTCCAGGAGGGGGTCTCCTATAGGGCGTGTGCATCTGAGAAATCAGAGCCAGCTGTAACTTAACACGTTGCTTACATGCAAATGCCTTAAGGCAGCTTTGGCTGTAGAGCACAGTGTCCGAGACCAAGTGGCTTAAGCAAAACGCCTGTGTGTCTCACCTTTCTGGAGGCTGGGGGTCTGAGGTTGAAGGTGCAGACAGGCAGATGCAGTGTCTGCTGCGGGCTCTCTTCCAGGCTGAGTAGACGGCCACCTGCCTCCCCACGTGGTGGAGAGAGAGAGAGAGAGAGAGAGAGAGAAAGATCTCAAATTCTTTGGTGTCTCTTCCTACAAGGGCACCGATGTGTCCTGGGAACCCCACCTTTATGACCTCATACGAACCTGCTTACCTCCCAAAGATCCCAACCTGCAAAAACCATCATGCTGGGAGTTAGGGTTTCGATATATGCATTTGTAGGTAGGGGAGGGGGTGCAGATACACAGCCCTAACAGCAAAGCATCTCCGATGCAGTCTGCAGCATTGTGCATGTGATAAGGAGGTGGGTGCAGCGTGATAGGTTGGCTACAGTGTGGTGCAGGGATTTAAAACATCCGAGTGCCAAGACTTGGGATGATTCAAGCCATGGCCGGGGCTATAGGAGGGAGTGATCCATTCTGCTGGAGAACTTGACAGTCCATGGCAAGGGGCTCCCCATAACTGTCCAGCTCTCTCCGTTGGTGTCCAGCTCCCAAGCTTTTAGGCTCCCAGGTTCTCCATCAGAGACATCCCCCTCCCACTCACCAAGTCAGCCTTCACGGAGCAGAGGCACACACGTGTGAGCTCCACATCCCCCTCTCCCCCCTCCTGGGGGCCCCTGCCTTGTGGGATGCATCCAGATGGAGTTCACTCACCGTATGTGTGCATCTGCCCTGTGTGTGCCCACAGCTGCGTCAGCTGGAAATGCAACTGGAGCAAGAGTACGAGGAGAAGCAGATGGCCCTCCACGAGAAGCAGGATCTGGAAGGCTTGATCGGAACCCTCTGTGAGCAGGTGAGACGGAGACACTGACTGACATTCGGGAGGACAGCTCCCCGCCTCTGGAGCCGGAGTCCCAGGGAGAGCCCCTGGAAGGAAACTGTCCCCTGGCATTCAAGGGAAGCCAAGAGTGGGCCTTTGTGCTGGTCTCTCCCTGCATCCTGAGTGCCCTCCTCTCTACCACCTCTGCCCATACTCATGGGCTCCTCAGAGCAGACCTGCAGGTGCCTGAAACCAGGGTTCTTGGAAGACCCTGTGAGAATGAACAGGTGCCATAGATGAGGTTTTCTTTCCTTCAATAGCTGTTGGGGTAAGAGCCGGGACAGTCATTGCTCTAGCAGGGTCACTGTGAAGGTACTCACAGCTGGACTCATGAAAACAAAATTGGGCTGTCAGGCTCACAGTCAAGCACAGCATTAAGCCCTGGCTGGGCCACTCAGGTCCCACATGGCTTTGAGTGAGCCAGGGATCTGCCTTGAGCTCTTGGAGAGCAGAGCCTTGCATGGTCATTGCTGTCAGCGTGCGCAGGGGTTGTCAGCCTCGGCACTGTGGACATTGTGAGCTGGGTCACTCTTGGTGGTGGGGACTGTCCTGTGCCTACCTGCTCAGTGACAGCCACACTGCCCCCTAGCTCCGGCGATTAGAATTGTCGCCAGATAACGGCGCAGTGCCTCCTGGGGACAAAACCAGCCGTCTCCTCTATGGAGATCTCCCGCTGTAGGGATAGCAGCCGGCAGAGCCCAGAGCTTCTGATTGCAGAATTGGGTGGAATTGCTCCTCCACCCTCCTACTAAACAGTCCTCCCCTCTCTGTGCTGCTGCTACTTATAGCCCCAACATGGGAGAGAAACTGTGGCTTCTACGATTTCTTTTGTAGTCTCATGGGGTGGGGGATGTGTTTTAGTGCCTTTGCCTGGTGTGACTCAGTGTCTGGTTATGAGGAATAGTCTTGCTATGAAAATCCTTCCCCGAAGTCATTGACTTTATTCATTGGTTCCCATTCAGGTGGTCACTGGGAGCAGCCACATGGGACAAAACAGGTGTTCATTATGGATTTAAAAGCAAATACATTGGGGTGGGTGTTTAGACTGGAAGTTAAGACACAGGTCAAGGTGCCTACATCCCACATCGAGTGCATGGGTTAGAGTCCTGGTCCCAGCTCCTGACTCCAGATGTCTGCTAATGTGGACCCAGGGAGGCAGCAGGTGATGGCTCAAGTAATGGGGCCCTTTCCACCCATGTGGGAGACCCAGATGGAGTTCTTTTCCAGGTGAGCAATCGTGACCATTAGTTCATCGCCACTAAGGCAGCTTTCTTTAGCATCAATGCAAGAGAGCACAGCCCAGTCTCAAGATTCCAGGGGTGGTTGTCGGGAACCACAGGGGGAAGGCTGGACTCCATTCAGCATGGCCCATTTGAGTGAACAAAGCAGGTGACCCAGTAAAGCAAGACTTTTATGAATAATGTGAGAAGTTTTACATGTGAAGGGAACTTTGCATGGATAAAATACCAACTTTGTAATAGTCACCAAACTGGAAGCTTTTAATAAATGATCCCATCTGAGGGTTTTTGAATGTTTTTGTTTAAGATCTTTGCCAATCCTGTGGAAAAGCAGAACAAATAATGGGATGGATGTTTTTGCTCATGGCACCCACGGTTCACACAGATGAACTTTTCACCATATTTGACTCAGATGTTTGTAAGGAAACACTTCACAAAGAGTTGGTGGCCTTTTGGTGGTTCTTCTTTGTCACACTCCCTTCTCTCCTTTCCTTGTTCTTCCTGCCCTTTGCAGGGAAAGCCATTAATTAGCTTGAGGGTGGAGAGTATTAATTCCAATGTACATGCATCTGAACCTGAACCGTGTACGGGACACACGACTGCACTGTGCTCTCCACCCCTTACCACACTGTGATTTTGAAATTCATCCATGGTAACAAGTGCTGCACCGGTTTATTCCTTGTAATTGCTTCATGGTGTGAATTTTAAATCTCATTGTTCTATTGGTGGATATTTAGTTGTTTCCACTCCAAGGTACAAAACTGCCCTGCACATTCTTGCATGGATCTCCCCGTGCACACAGGCAAGAATCTCTCCAGGGTGTGCACCTGAAAAGGGGCATTGCTGGCTCCTGGAAAGGTGCAATGTTGGAATTATTCCATACTGCCCCAGTCATCTCCTGAGTGATTATGGCAGCTTTTACAGTCACCAGCTGTGTCTGAGGTTTGGCCTTCCATATCCTCAAGGACATGTGGCGGGGACAGATCCCCCCTGTCGCCCCTAACCCCCCACCAGGCATTGGGTGTCAGGTGGTACTGCTCATTGCTGAGGAAGGTGTGCATTTTTTCATGTTTTTATTTTTTAGAAAGTTTAGAGGGAGGGAGGGAGGGAGGGAGGGAGAGGGCAGGGGCCCTCTCATCTACTGGTTCACTCCCCCAAAAGCCCAGGAACTGAGAACTCATCCCAGCTCTCCGACATGGTTGGCAGGAACCCAAATACTCAAACCATCACTGTTGCCTCCCAGGGTGCACATGAGCAGGAAACTGGAGTCAGAAGCCGAGGCGGGACTTAAACCCAAAGCCGAGCCCTCCGATACAGGATGCAGGCGCCCCGAGCGCTGTTGCCCTGCTGTGCCAATCACCCCACCTGCATTTTTCAGACGTTTACTGTGGTTTTCTCTTACATGATTTGTCTGTTGTAGTCCTCGTTTTCTCCTTTGTTTGTGTTGCTCATTCAGATCCTTATGCCAGCCGATGGTGCGTTGTTGGCACTGTGCCTTCCAGGTATCTTCTGCACTGTGAATAATTATTTCTCTTTGTTCATTAATGTCCTTCACTTAATAAAAAGCACCTTGAAATAGTTCCATTAATCAGTTTTAATGATTTGTACGTTTAGATCTTCAGATAATGTTCTTAACTAGAGTGCATAAGGATATTTCATTGTATTTCCCAAAAGTTTTAGCATTTGATTTTTTAAATATTTTTAGGTATACATCTAAATTTTATTTGGGTATATAGTGTTACAAAGTAGGAATTCACTTTTCTTTTAAATATTTATTTTATTTATTTGAAAGAGTTTCACAGAGAGAGAAGGAGAGGCAGAGAGAGAGAAAGAGAGGTCTTCCATCTGCTGGTTCACTCCCCAATTAGCCACAACAGCCGGAGCCCATATGGGATGCCGGCACTGTAGGCAGTGGTTTTACCTGCTACACCACAGCGCCAGCCCCAGAGTTTACTTTTTCTGAAATGGATAACCTTTGTTTTCTTCCAGAAATACTTTCTCTACAATTTTCATATATGTGGGTGTATGTTTGGCTTCCATTCTGATTCATTGATTCGTCTATTCCTCCACCATACAACCTCTTTAAAATAATTTTGCTGATTTCAAAGGCAAAGAGATAGAGGGAGGGAGGACAGGATGGAGGAGAGAGACAGACAGATGGAGAGAGAGTGAGCTCCAGAGAGATCTTGCATCTGCTGGTTTACTCCCTATGTGCCAGCAACAGTCAGGGCTATGTCTGGCTGAAGCTAGGAGCCAGGAATTCAATCCAGATCTCTCATGTGGGTGGCAGGAACCCAATTACTTGAGCCATCACCACAGCCTCCCAGGGTCTGCATTAGCAGGAAGCTGGGATTAAGAGCACAGACATCATTCAAGCCCAGGCACGCCACTGTGAGTGACATGGTCATCCCAGTGAGTGGTGTAACCCACTGCCAAGCTCCCACACAGACGTGTAGTCTTAATGGCTGGATTTTGATAACTTGTAAGACAGCTTACCTCACTTATCTTGCAAACTGCCTTGTCGTCTTGATTGTCTGATCTTCTTATGAAGATTCCGTAGCAAGGGACAGGCATTTGGTGCAGCCATTAAGACCCTGGTTGGGATGTCAGCATTCCTTTCTGGAGTGCCTGGGTGTGAGTCCTGGCTCCACTCCATTCCCAGTTCCAGCCTCCTGCTAATGTACTCCCCAGGACACAGCAAATGCTGCTAAAATAGCAGCCGCCCATGTGGGAGACCTGAATTGAATTCCACCTTGGGGACTAAAATGTGGATGGGAGCTCTTGGTGTCTCTGTCACTATGCCTCTCTCTCTGCCTCTCAATAAAATGAATAAATATCTTGATTCCTTTTTATTTTTTAAATAAGGCTTATTTATTTATTTGAAAGGCAGAGTTACAGAGAGAGGTAGGAAGAGACAGAGAGAGAGAGAGTTCTTCCATCCGCTGGCTCACCCCCCAATTGGCCACAATGGCCGGAGCTGGGCTGATCCGAAGCTAGGAGCCAGGATCTTCTTCCAGGTCTCCCACATGGGAGCAGGGGTCCAAGCACTGGGCCACCTTCCACTGCTTTCCCAGAAAATTGGGTCAGAAGTGGATCAGCAGAGACTTGAACCAGCGCCCATATGTGATGCAAGCTGGTGCTTTAACCCACTGTGCCACAGGGCTGGCCCCGTAAATAAATCTTTTTTAAAGATTTGGTAGTAGACACTGATTTGATTTCCGTTGGAAATGAGTTGATTTGTATGTAAAATCATTGATTTTTAAAAAAAAATATTGAAGCCTCATATTATTGCAAATGCCATCCATTTTCTTATGGTTTTCAAGTAATATTTTATTGTCTTTATCCATACCAGTCTTGAATTTTTTATTTTTAGATTGGTTTCTCATGAATCCGTAGCTGCCATGGCTTTTGTGACTGGCAGACTTTTCCGTTGCCTACAGTTTGGTTAGTCACCGGGGCCCAAGGGATGGCTATTGATCATTCTTACTGAGTCTTTTCTGCTTTTTGTGTTTCAACTGCTGGTTCCTCTGGGTTTTCTACAATGACAATCTCATTAACATTTGAAAACAAAAATAGTTTTTCCTGGTGGACATAACCTGGGGCAACAAAGGGAGCTCAGAAATTTCAAAGAAAAAATTATGCATTCTGTCTCTGGCTTCTTTTCTGTACTTTGTTTTTGTGGCGTGGGGCTTCAGAAAGGACTGAATGGCAGAGGAGGTGGCTGGTGTCCCCTGT